CCTTAGTTATCATGGACCTGCCTGGCATGAGCAGGCACAACATGGCCAATGGTCCAGATAGTGGGATTTACTGAGGTGGGTAACAGTAGTGCATTGGCATGATAGTACTCTTTTGCTAATTGCTGAAGTTGCTCAAGATGAGTATCTTCCACTTCAAATCGATTGATGATTGAGCACAAATCCCTCAGTCTTACACCAATATAAGCTAGGGAAAGCAAATTCTGTCTTTGTTTTGGACTGTCATTGTCCTGCCTCAAAAATGTCAGCAACCTTGCAGAGTTGTGACAAAACAACCGTGACTCTTTTCCTGTAAAGCGATACTGCAAATCCCCTTGCTTACCCTGTGTTTCGTCAAACCATTTACGGGCCTTTTTAGCTAGGCGACCAGCCTTCACTTTACATTTAAGTGCAGTGACCAGTCTCTCCAAAGAGGTATCCTTTGGAACCTCTGCAAATTTTTTGCATGTTGATGAGTATGTAGGACTTGCCCACTGCCTCCTTCAACAGCACTTTGAAAAAATACCCCCAAGCATTATTTTTGAGGTGAAGAGGCTCTACATGAGCTTTATCAATTAATTTACCCACCAAAGGAATATATTCTTGACAGCTCTTTTGATGAGCTATAAAATCAGTAACCTTAGACCTCTTGTTTTTCATCGACAAAGGTTTTCCTTCCAGTGAGGCCTTACAGCCTTAGCATCTTTAAGTCTATTGGCATAATGCCAGGGCTTCCATTTACATGAAGGACTGGAGCAAAATGTCCCCCCTAAATCAGTATAGTCTTTTGTACTTACATTTGCAAAAGTTAAAAAGAATGTAGCAGAATTACTAAGCTCTCCACCAAGCATTGCTAACATTTTCATGTCATTGGGAAGCTCTTCAAAATGAAATGACACATGTAAACCATTAATTTCACATACACATCCCTCTAGATCCCTAATTTGTTTACATACAAAGTTTATGTACTTTTTCACAACAAGGGAGGTCTCCTCTACATTACCCCCAAAGACTAAAAAATTGTCACTGCTGGATGCCACTCTCTTTCCAACATTAAGAAAGCTGATAAGGAATCAACAAGCAGATTCATTTTTACCAAAAGGGCATCCATCCCCCCCAAATGCAACGAGAAACCTACCCTCTGTTTCTCCAAACCATTTTAATGCACCTTTGCGTTTCCCCTGCATGTTCAAATAAGATTTTGCTAGTCGGGGCAAATACTCTCTTAAGTCTCTAAAGCACCCATTAATATTCTCATCATCAATGTCTGTAGAGAATTCTTCAATGGAATAGACCTTTCCCACATCAACCCTCTTAATTTCATTTACAAGAGAATTGTAAGTAAGAAGTTTTGGTATAGGGCAGTTTGACAATAAACTTGATAGCTGTCTCTGAGCTTTTCGCTGGAGTGTTTTCACCTCTTTCGAAAGCTGAGAAAGGCTGGCTTTCTCTCTGGCGAACTCCTCCTGCAAGCTTTTCCTTGCCTTGTTGTATTGCCCAACAGCAAAGCGGTTATATTGCTTTCGCCTGAGAGGCATATCACTAGTGTTGAAGGTTCGAAAAGTAAGTCTTGATCATTTCAGTACCGGTCCGTTCGTGCTCAAGTCTGACACAGACCACTCGTAAAAAAGCAATATTTCTGAAAAAGTAAAACGAAATCCCCAAAACGAAAAACATACGTTTCTAAAAGAAGGTTTGTAGTTTCCATTTTTGCAACACTTGATGTTATGTTCAGAAGAACGAAAAAGCCTTTTGAAGCTGAAGTTGGCCATTTTTAGAGCAGTTCCTCACGGCTCCATGATAAGGCAAAAGCGAAGACGAAGGAAAATTCACATATTTAACTTTTGCCGTTGAATTTGGTATCAAAATAAAGCTTGCTCTTCGTATTTTTGCAGGATAATGCTTTCAATTCATCCCGCGCTCTCCCAAACAGCAACGCGAGCATTATATATACCATTCCAAACTAGTTTCCAGGGCCATAACGTGACCAAAGACCAAAAATTGCCGACAGCTGACCCGGGTGTTTTTACATTGCATCCTTCCCCTAGTTGGGAAGTGACAAGCAAGAGACACGTTCACAACGCCTTTTGATTGGAAGAAATAAAACCACATTCTATTGGTTATTAGTTGTGAGGACATAACTGCAACGGAAGACACAACTGCAACGCTACACCTACACTGTATCAGCAAGCAGTTTCACCAGACAGTGATAAATGAAATATTTTTAAAATATCATTTTTGCAAATATTAAGCTTACTTTTACCCATTATCGTAACCTTAAGAATAGCCTGTGTACAGCCGCCCCATTCCCTCAAAAAAATCGGGGAGGGGGCGGCTGTACACAGGCTACCTTAAGAAAAGCATCCTAATATAACCTTTACATTTTAACTTTAGCCTGCAGAGCAGGCGTTCTAGTAAAGTTTGGGCGAAAATTAGACCGCGCGAAAAATAGAGCGAGGCGCGGAAAAATTAGGAGGTGGGGGGATGGGGAGAGGAGAGAAGGGAAGGAGAGGTGATAATAGGAGTAAAATGGATAAACCTTTAAGTCAAAGATTCACTTTGGAAAGACAAAAACAAGTATAATTAGTTATTACGATGAGAAAACAAGACAAACAGCGATGATAAACAATGAATTCCATTGCATTTTATATAGAACTTGACGTTTCGTAATACTGATTTGTCTGGACAGATTGTACTCTCTCCCTGATCCCCCGCAGTTATCTTGTTCTGTTTTGAAAGATCTTTTGCAGTTTGCCACTAAGAAGAGTCACTTTATATTTGATGGTCAATACTATGATCAGATTGAGGGTGTAGCTATGGGTTCACTTTGAGGCCCCGTTTTGGCTAACATTTTCACGTGCCACTTTGAAGAAAAATGGTTGACGAATAGTAGATTCAGTCCTTCACTCTGGTTTAGATACGTAGATGACACCTTCACCATGTTTGACAACAAAGACAACGCTAATGAGTTTTTAAATTTTATAAATAGTCCACACTATAGCATCACCTTTACAATTGAATTCGAAGAAGACAATAAGATTTCTTTTTTTAAATATTCTTCTAAAACGCTGCCCTGACAACACTTTCTGTACATCTGTCTACCGGAAGAAGACATTCAAAGGCCTTTACACCAAGTGGGATTCATTCACACCTCGCAAATACAAAATTAACCTCATACGCACTCTCACCTATCGATGCTTCCGAATTTGCTCCTCTCTGTCTTTATTACAGGCTGCTATTAAAGATCTGAGAAAGCTCCTGTTTAACAATTGGTTCATGCTTTAGCGTGCACTATCGAGTTATGGAGCACGCGGGAAGTTTGGAGAGCACGAAAGTAGCGTAAGAGTTTCCCGTGGCAATAGCCGAGGGCAACTCTAGCTTCTTGAGGGCTCTCCAAACTTCCCACGTGCTCCATAACTCGATAGTGCACAGCTGAAAGCATCAACCAATTGTTTTAGAACATAGCCGGTGGAATTGCGCATCAAATCCGACGCGAAAAACGGACAACAATATCAATTGAGGCGAATCGCGACGGCGCTGATGCCGAGTCTCCTTTTCCTTTGTTTTTCTCTTTTTCTGCCTCATTTAAGAACTCTATACTGAATTTGATTGCGCGGCTCTGCTAGCTATGTTCTAATACAAAATGGTTACCCTCAAGGTGTTATCACGTTAAACATTGATGATGTATTGAACAAAAATAAGAACAAACCAAATAACCCTGTTCAAGCTACAGTCCCCAAAAAAGATATCTTAGTTGTGTTACCCTACTTAGGTCTTCACAGTAACCAAGTCACGAAACGTCTGAAATCCTGCGTTTACAATTTTTACTCTTTCGTCAATCTCAAGATCATATTCCAAAACACACGCCGCATCAAATCCTTTTTTCCTTACAAAGACATCTTCAACCGATCTCAAAGGTCCAAGGTTATCTATAAACCTGGTTGCTGGAATTGTGATGAGTTCTACATTGGCAAAACAAAACGAAGACTCCATGACAGGAAAACAGGACATTTTAAGGCCCTAGCTAAAAGTGACCAATCATCTGCCATTGCTGATCATGTGAAGACTACTTACTGGTCACAACATTAAATGGGATCATTTTGACATTTTAGCGTCGGGAAAAACCGACTTTCATTGTAAAATTAAAGAGACTTTGTTCATTCAAGAGCTAAAGCCTTCCCTTAATGTCAATGTTAGTATTGAGAAGTTGTTGTTATTCTAGCTGTAGATTCTTTTTGTCTCAGTCAAGGTTCCAGACCTCTTACATTCACTATATATAATTTTCAACAATTGTAACGGTTCACTTTTGAAAATGTATGTCGACTAGCATACGAAACGTCAAGTTCTATATAAAATGCACAGGAATACAATGTTTATCACCGCTGTTTGTCTTCTTTTCTTAATCAAGCTACGATTGCCTAAGAACAAGAGTTTATATGTTACGACGAGTTTTAACATCTTAGAACTGCATGAAAGCAATTTTCGTCGAATAATTTAAGTGATACAGTTGACAGTCTCACACACGAGAGGGGCCGTTCAAATGAATTTTTATCATCTTCAAAATTATTAAATTTTTACAGAATGCCTTACTGGACTCAGTTGGCGATCAAATCTTAGGGTTAGGGTAATTTTACAAACAGGAACAAATTTCGTCCTTTCATATTGTTTAGCATTTCTGGCGATTTTCGCTGCCTTTACCACTACTAAAATATATTAACCAATTGGCTGGCCTGGGTAGATAGCAGTTGTTGACGCGCTGTTTAATATGTGAAATCTCGCGTGAAATGCATTGTGAGCATATCAGCTCACCAGTATTAAAATGATCCATGGTGTTACTCCAATATTGTAAAAATGAACCATTATCTCGAAACACAAGAGGAACCAAATTCCGTTTCGCCGCGTGATGATGGGGCACTTACGTCAGGTCAGAGTTGGTCGATAAGGCCGGTAAATTCAAAACTTAATGGGTCTTTTTACGTGAATTAAGAAAACGACAACAACCATTCCAGCAGAATATCAAGAACACAGCCTCTAGCTGATAAACTTATGTATTTCCATAACCTGTTTGCAAGATAACAAATTTGAATTTGCAAGGTGAACTTAAATGCTAATCACTTCTTGGAATCAAAGAGTTTAAAAATGGACCAGTGTGACCAATCAGGTCTGACAGATAGTAAGTGCCTTGGTAACTGATATAAGTACCGTCTGGTGTGTTTGAGAAGAATGCAAAGTGAACTAGACACCGGGTTCCGCAATCTGTTTACAATATTCTCCAGTTCTCGTCAAGTCTTCACTGTTTTCTGTGAATATTTCCTGAGCTTTCAGCCCGCCGTGGCTTTTTGAATTCTCTCCTGACACTGGCCGGAATGAGATTGGGTAGGGGTGACAAAGGCGGGGGTTCTGGGATACTCTCTAATAACTTCCGTTTCGAATGTCTCAACTTTTCGCCGGGATTGACTTCATGCGCGGCTTGATTGGGAATCTCCAAGCTAGGGTCATCTGATTGGTGCGAAACTTTAACATCAATACACGAAGATGGTCGTGAGAGTAAGCTTGGGCCAATTTCCTGAAAGAAAATACACAAACATTGTGTCAGAAAATTCTCTTATTAATGCGTTTTAAGAAGAATAGCCAGAGACTGAATCTTTATCAAGATCACGTTTCCTTAATTTTGTGCAAACGTTCTCTGGGTCACATTTACTTATGAAGCAACTAAATTGGCTAATTCCGTAATATTGTATTGGAATTCCGGGCTGAACTGGGGTAAAAGATAAAAACTGTAATGGGTGCTAAACTTTGATCCATATGTGAAACATAGAAAAAGAGACTAACCATGAAATGCAAGGCCTTAATCGATTCGATAATGGGGAACAAGACATGTCAAAAGCTGTCTTGAATTTTCTCGAGTTTATACAAACCTTCCCAGTGGAGTGCAATGCTTCTGCGTCCACCTTTAGATTTTCTGGCAGCGATGCTCGATTTGGGTACAGAATGATATCCAGTTTCTCTTGAATCTGACTCATGAACAAGCGCAAATCCTGAAAACAAACCAACAAAAAACAACCCATACGATACAGTTCGCCCTTGAGCAGCATTACTGATTGAGGATTCTGATAATTTTTTCTCATAGTTTCCTCGAGTTGCTACCAGGAGCAAGAGCGTTGAAGTTATGAAGGACAAATATTCTAAGATCTCTCACCACCACCACCCACAGTAACACAAAAGGGAAAAGAAACATGAAAGAAAAATAAGGCCTTTTCTTCTCCTGGATCAACTTATTCCGATCTGTTTCCACTCTTACACAACATGAAAACTATACAGAAAATGGCGTCATTATAGCAGGCCTCAAGTGTACCTAGTTACTGCATTTCCACGACTTTATATTAATGATAATAACTATAACAACATTAAGATCAGTGTCTAAAGGATCTAGCACCAGCGGAGGACAGGTACTAATTGGGGAAACTCTAACTACAACTATAATACTTACAACAACAGCAATTATATGTTACTAAGCCAAGTCTATGTAGAATTAAGAGAAAAATACCGTAACATTCTCAAAGATTCCAAAATAAGAAATAATATTTATTTACAGTTAATTGAGAGAAATGCACATCTCTAAGAGTCACATTTGGCAGTGGCACTTTTAATCTAAAAATTCATCGCATGTTCCTAATTCATACACGTACCTGTATGCTTTGCTGCAGGGTTTTTAGGGCATTCCGTAGGTGTGGTTCACGAGGCTTCAGGGACACGTTTGACAGTTCCCAAAAGGTTAAGAACGGGCACTGAAGGCGGTCGTCTTGGCGGACTGTCAGGTTACTACAGCAAATGAAGTTACCAGCTTTGACCACATCCTCTACAGCAACCGACTACATCAGAGACGACACATGTTAAAAAGGAACGAGAGAAAAGTAATTAAATGTATTGGTATCACAGCAGTTTCTTTGAGTCGGGCTTGTGATCACTCCGATTGCTTATTTTGCCAAACAACATCGACAGGCTGAAAGCTTTAACTCACTCACAGGAGAAAAAGAGAACGGGGAGACTTTCCAAGACATTCCAATTTACAGGAAGCTAAGATTATACGCATTCAAATTGGACTAAAAGCCGTCTGAAATTTCCTTCATAGTTCAACATAGAGGTCAAAACATTTTTCTCTGAAATTCAACGTTTTTCTTTGAAATTCAACTAAAATAAACCTATTTGAAACTTAAGAAATGGTTAAATATCAAGATCATAGAGGGTGAAGTAAAACCTCTAATCAAAAAGCAAAAACTGCAAAAGAATAAAACAGATTTGATTAATACCTTTAATCCTCCCCAAAACTTGATTGCCACTATGTTGCTCCACTCGTCAGATAAATAAACAGTCTGCACGTTGGAGCTGGACGAAGATATTATGATGAATATTTGTTGATAAAAATCAATACAGCCATGGTGGAGTGAATTTACACAAAGAGATGTAACAGTTTCAAGATCATTGCTCAAAGGTGCTTCGAAGCTTTTCTTTTTAATTGAAGATCGAACGAAAAATTAGCTCGTTTCTTTCGTAAGATTGGCAAATAGCTTTAAACAAAAGCTGCTTATCACTTCTATAGTTAAAATATCTGTCAACTTTACCTTGAACCAGAGAAGGACGATAAAGGAGAGCAAAAGATCACTAATCCTACCAAATCGACTTCGGAAAACAAATGGGAGGAGTTGCAGCGTAACTCTTGAAACGAGCAGACCTTGGGAAAAAGAATTGTGAAACAAAAGTAGCTCGCTAATCATAACCTTGAGAACAAACAAATAAAAGCTGACAACAACACGTCATTAACAACAACAACAAAGGAAGCAGGATAGCCTTCAATCGTAATGCAACTTAACGATCAAATTTGCATCTTCCCCGTCATTTACCCTAAACGCGGGGAAGAATGACAACACATTGAATAAATACATAAATCAATCAATCAATCAATCAATCAATCAATCAATCAATCAATCAATAAGTTGGCAAACAAATACTTAACGAAATAAAAACATGTACTGTTAAAATACTTTGATAAATAATGCAAGGTTCGATGGTAGAATACACACCTTTCGAGGAACGTAAACTATTCTTTTGACTTCGGGGTCACTTGACAGGTCCTGGTATCTCGTTGTCCTTGTTGCAGAAAGCTTTTAAAGGAAAGAACAATGATTGTGAGCAAATATTCGAAGGAAGCATATACAAGAGTAAGAAAAGTAAAATTGTAATCACCAGCGAAACTAAACAGACAACATAAGGCAAAAGGTAAAAAGTACTCCAAAATGATGAAGGTCATTTGGTTGTGCGAAGCGTAAATTAACATTATTTACGGAAAATATGACAAGAACTTAGTTAACGTTAAGCTTTTTGCAACTACACCAAGGACAGGGGAGAGACAATTGTTTAACAGTGGGCATCCATTCGTAGGCTTAAAACAATAAAACTCAAAAAAGGCATGAAAAAAAAAAAATTTAAAGATTCATTCATACCTGTACTTCACTCACACCCTGCCGATATCTGAAAAGTGCGTTGCATAAAAAATCAGTAACAGGGATATCACCCTGGAAATAATGCAATAACAGAAATAAGGGGATCGAAGTGTTAAGCGCGAAACAAACTTGGCATTACCGGACACCAGAGGCTGTAAGATGATAGATCCTCAACCTGGATCCCTCGCTCAACAACTGCATAACTTCTTCGCTTGGTCGCCAAATGCTTAAGACAGCATCTGTAATGGTCAGATTGAATTACAAAATGTTGAATATCTGGGTGACCTCGCTAAAGTAAGAGCGATATAAGGTCGTCCAAACTACTGAAATTCCTGTACCGATCAAGAATGATCATAAACGAAAGTGAGGCAAATATACCACATCCACCTCGGTGAGTGGTCAACTGACACCCAGAAATGGGTATAGTTTTGGGAAGGTTTAAGCAACCAGTTCCCTAACTTTTCTTTTTATTAGGCCATTTAGTAATAGTGAATGATACTCCGATTTCCGTGTCCATTATCTGCATATTAACTCATTGTGCCGTTGATAATTGAAGTATCTACCTAAAATCTACTCATTCATTCAGTGGTTCGTTTATTCTCATAATTTTATTTTTTAATCTTAAGACTCATTTGGAGAAAACACGCATGGAGTGGGTACACCTACTCTAGAAGCCCTCCTGCTTCCCAGAAGTATCACTTACTTTGCCTGTCCCGACCCCTGAGCAAGTAGTCGGCAACCCGAACTTTGAGCAGAGGCACCACATTTCTTTGGGGCTGGCACTGTGAAGAGTGTCAATTAAAACAAACAAGTAATACAAACTGTTAGGGCGTAAAGCGAGGTCAAAGTTAGAAATTTGTTTCAAGATATTTGTGTCTATAATAATTGTTTACAGAACGCATAAGGTAGTTCACATTTTGCATAATACCCGGTAAAAAATAAATAACGACAATGGCCGATGGACCCACATGGCAACCGACGAACGAACGCACGCACGAATTAAACAAAATGGAATGTGCTAATAACCAACGGGAAAAATGATCACCAGAATAAAGGGAAAGAAATAACAGATGTTACAGAAAAAGTAAGTAACCTCCTCTTCTTGTTCCCTCCAAGTACTCTCAAACTTGCTCTGTAATTCAGCAAATTTCCTCTCTTGTGACAAACGCTGGTATTCCTCTAGAGCTCGTAGTTGGCGTTCATCGAGGCACCCCTAAATAAAAATTCAACGCAAAGTTAGAGATACCTTCTTTCAAACGTTGTCTCCAGCGGCTGTAAAATTCTATCAACGATAACGCCGTCCTCAAAATCAAGAAAAAATCATAAAATAAACTACTTTTATCGGAGTGTTGTAAAACTACACCTTGTGAAATCGCACAAATAAACGAAAAATTACAACAAAAGTAACAAAGAAAATATGACATCATGTTAACAAGGTCTCAAAGTAGAAAAATAGCAAACTAGCAGCAAAAGCGAAAAGCGAATGAGCAAGTCGTGTTTGTTTTCAGTTTTAAATCTGATTGGCTGAGAGGATGGAACAAACTCTCTTGACTCATTCAGCGCGAATTAAAACAAAAAAGGCAACGAAGTCCTGATTCCTTTTCGACAATCAGCTAAAAAGTGCTCTCACTCGAAAAGTCACCAGGAAACATTAGATAAAAAACTCCATAAACAGATTCATATCTTGACTCCTTAATAAACCATAGGCCATGGGATCATCTAGCTACAGCCTGTATCATAAGTACTAGAAACTTGTAAACTTTGCGATCGCACCACGCATTATACGTTAGCGACCTATATGAATGAGGGTAACACTAACTTTAATTGCATCCGGGTCCGTGGCTTGTGAAAGGGCTTCGTAAATCTCTTTCCCGTCATGCAAGTCTTTCAAATCACTTGGTACAAAGGAACGGCGACGAAATCTTGCAGATCTTCTCCTTTCTCTTTCTATGATAAAAAGGCAGGGACAGCCTGTTAGTTTTCTTTTCTTCTCTATTTTGATTCCGATTTTGTTTGTTTGATTCTGTGTATATTCTACAATAGGTCTACAGATCATTGATGTTCAATAAGGCTGATTTTCCAACAAAATTTAGATAACAATCATCATAATTACGTACCCGGCTCAAAGCATTCCTTTTCAAACTCTTCTTGTATTTTAAGGAACAACTTTTCCCTTCGCTGATGACGATCCGTTTCAAACTTTTTGACCTCTCTTTCTTCGTGGCGAGAATTGCGGAATACATTGGTTCCATCCGGCATCTTTTCCATCCACTTCGAAAAGATGACAAAAGATAAACTGATTATACAAACTTAGAGCTCTCTGTTTTTTCCTCATTTGATGCTTGTTTGGCTTTCATTTTTTTCCTTCTTCTTTTACAGGTTGAAACACATATAGCCTTCCCGCAATCCTGAGGACTTCAGTTATCAGCTCACTCGTAGATTGTAACAATTTCTCGTGTTCACAAAGGCAAACGTTTACTTAGCGGTTTCAAAGAAACGTAAACAAGATTGTAAGCTTGCATTTGTGATTAATTTTAAAAATAACCTCGTGCTTTGACCATTAACAGCTAAGCTGCATTTTTACCGACAGGAAGAGCGTGTCATGCTATACATTTTCCCACTGAAACAACCTCCCGGTTAGCTCAATGGATAGAGCGCTGGACTGTTGTCCGGGAGGTCGAGGGTTCGAGCCCCGGCCGGACCAACACTCAGGGTCTTAAAATAATTGAGAAGAATATGCTGCCTTTCTATAACATCAAAAAATGGTTAGATATTCTAGTCTTCTCGGATAGGGACGAATAAATGGAGGTCCCGTCTCCTGCAGGGTTAGGGGTAGGAGACGTTAATTTCCCACGCACGAGATTA